CATTTTTATTCCTCTTGTCAGTGATTCTGGCCATTGCCATCAAACTGAGGCAGTCAGGAAATTCCAGTTTCTTACCATGTTTTGCTCCTGTTTCCCATTCCACAGCTGGGGTCATATTTCCACCCAGTTTTCAAGATGGGACTCTGCCTTATTCCTACCAGCTTTGCGTCTCCTCAGAATCCAGGAAGAATGAACTTACCTTCCTGGCACCAAACATTCATGTTGCAGAGAATGTGCTTTGTGGTGAAAAAACTGAAGTGCCTCTTTCGAGCAATGGAGGAAAAACATTACAACCTGAGATGGAGAATAATGGGAAGGTAAATATTGAACTCCAACCTCTATGACAGCTCCCCCTCAAAGACAGCAGACTCTTAGACATGTCTACTCAAAGTAGATTGCATTCTCTTTTACTTTTCTAACATCTAAAATTGTATTTCTTCACAATATTTCACTGAGCCATTAAACATTGCTTTCTCAGAAAATGGTCCACCTAAGTGTAACATCAAGGTAAGCTTCTTTTTTTAAGAACTTCCATATAGTTTTAACATAGGATCAGTTAAATTAATTTTATTACTGAAGTTCTTCTGTCTAAGCGGTTAGTATTTGCATAAAGTTAAGAAGTTTAATCTGAATCTTTATTGTATTTAAATAAGTTGTAAGTTTTTAACTCAGTTTCAACATATTATTCTGTGGCAGCATTTGAATGCCAGCACCAAGTACTGTTATTATTTTGAAGGATACATACCAAAATTGGTGGGGAGCAAGGGTGGGGTTCTACTGGTTTGGACCCGTTCAGGCGAGCTCCTTTCTCAGAAGATCATCTGGAAGCAAACCAGTTCGCTTCGATGAACATGTGGGCCTACTCTTGACCTTCCTGACCCTTCTCTTTCCTGTGCTTTATTTCCTTTTTTAAGAGCACAGCTGATTCATGCAGCAGAGCAGTTTGCTGTGCCTCAGCTGTTTTATTTATTCACAGGGACTGATGTAAAAGGTATTAGAGCTTTTAAAAATGCAGAGCTCGCACAGAGCACACGATCACCGAACCAGTTGTCATACTGGTGAAATCCCATTCCAGGGTGTGTGTGTGTGTCACAATGCTTTTAGGACTATGTTGATACGTATTACTTCAAGTTTGACTACAAATTTCTGAGTCCCAATTTTTGAGTCCCAAGTGTACAAGTAAAAATGTCTTGATTTTACAGTCTCAAAATATTTGCTAGAACAAAGAGATAGCCCAGGTAATACAGTACTTATGTTAGACTGTCTTTCATTATATATATAAAAATACTTCTCACCCCTATGGGTGGTATGTGTCTTCCTCAATCTCAGAACCTCTACCAGAGACTGGGAGTTGGATTCTAACATTGGACATAGAGCTCTGATGTTGTTCTGATGTTGATCTGTTAAAGCCACTCTCCCAGCTTATGAGTCACAGCCCAAAATGTTCCTAGCATCATTTTAGGACCACTTTGGCCTTTACTTTCCACATCCTCTCCAGTTCTTCCTACTTTTCCTAGTACTTTTCCAACTTCTGATATTCCTTCTTCATGTTGTTGCTATCACTTGGCACTGCTACATTACTGTATCACCACTGCTGTCTTCTGCTCCTTGTCTGTTACCACAGTGGTTGCTTGACAAGTAGCTGCCTATCTGTCTGGATCTAAAAGTCCCATAGGATCCCAGCCCTCTTATTCTTCATGACCTTCTGTGGGATCTCCCATCTGAACTTGGGAGGATCTAACCCACATACCGTGCAGATATTCCTGTACACAATCCCAGGTTATGCTGTTCAATGCATGCCGTTCCTGCACTATATAGAGGCAACTCTAAGATCTCACCAAATTCTGCTTGCTACATGCATTTCATTATAAGTGCCATTCCCTTACTCTGGTAGCCTGGATATGGCAAATGATTATATCACTCCATTTAGAGAAGGTCTTATATTTTTTATATGTAAATTGTATATGTATTTAAAGAATCGCAGACAAATAAAAACAATTTGTAATGATAGTTGTGCTGGTATTCCATTTAAAAATGCAGTGATCATAAAAAGTTAAAAGATCTGTAGTCATGAGTTTTATCTTTATAGAATCTTTATGGGCTTTCTGATTATGATCTCAAGGTTCATGATTATAGAATGTAAAAAAACCTCAGAACTGATCAAGATCCAAGTCCAAGTCCATAGAATCATAGATTCTGAAAATTTTGGCTACTATTCATGATCTCTGTTGAATACAAGAATCCAAATAAAAAATTCTAGGGAGATTGCAATCTAGTTTTGCCTCTGAGCACATCCAAGAAGGGAGAGTTGATTACATTTGTAGGCAGATGGATCCATTGTCAAATGATTGTTAGTGTCAATAAATGCTTTGTAATATTCAGAACCTGCTTTCTTAAAACTTAAATTGGTTATGTATGTCTTACTTTTGGACATGTTTCTACATTTTCTCTATTTCTCTATTTTTCTTTGTTGTATCATCGGGGTGCTTGAAAAGTGCTATACTATTCTTTCTGTTCTTATATTAACAATCTCATCATTATTTTGATTGCGAAGAGTCACAAAAGAGAACACTAAACAAATAATTATTGTCTCCAGCCTAAACATGGCTAATCTCTTGAATATATCTTCATATTTATGTTTGCCTGACCATCCTTTTACTTCGTTGAATCTATTTCCAATTTGTCTAAATATTTTTTAATGTGGGTATTCACAAATAATACTATAATGCTGGAGTCTGAATAATGAAAAATAAATTTAAATTTCCCATTATTTAAAATTCCACTTTTCTTCCTGCAGCTAAACTGTATTTACCATTTTGCAACTGCTTCACAATACTGATTCATGTAATTTGGAATTAAATAATGAGAGAACAGTTAAGAGAACTGGGTATGTCTAGCCAAAGAAGAGAAGGGTTAGGGTGACATGATATCTGTCTTGCGGTACCTGACGGGTTGTCATAGAGAAGAGGGGGTCAATTTATTCACTATAGCACTTGAGGGCAGGACAAGAAGGAATGGGTGGAAGTCCATTAAAATCCAACTGGGAACGGAGAAGAAATTTCCTGACAAGTGAGAACAATTAATCAGTAGAACAACTTACTTCCCAGAGTTGGAGGTTTTCAAGAAAAGATTGGGCAACTATTTATTCAGGATGGTATAAAGTCTCCTATCTTGGGCAGAAGGTTCGACTAGAAGACGTTGAAGGTCCATTCTAGCCCTATGATTTTATGTTAGTTGGATGTTATGTTACATTACATTACGAGATAGGTGTAGAATGAAAATTCAGATATTTATACACACATTCCTTGCGCATCTTGTATTGCAACTAAATAAATCTGGGAACTTCATGCAGTACTCCACCCATAAGAATGTTACATTAATGTTGCAGCTGACAAAGCTGCAACAGGCTATTAAAAAACTTATTGTGAAAAATTTCTCCTAATTCACATGGTGTTTATACTACCATAAACATTCTTTCTAAAGTTGGAACAAAAATATTTTCGTAGCATAACCGATGAAGAATAAAATATTAGAACCCCATCTTTTCAGTCCCAAGTGTGCTAGCATTTCTGAGCCAAACTCCATATGTAGCCAAGGCAGATTTCAAAGAGGAAGCAGAGCCAGGACACAATTAAATTAAATATAAACTTGTTTCTTATAAAAAATTAAATAATAATAATTAGATACACTTAGCGTGATTATTCTCCATGCAGTATTTTTCTCTCATATTAAAGACTGCAATTTATCAATAACTTTTGAAATTATTAAGTCTCTATTGCCTATGAATATTTTAAAGTGTGTTGCATTTTCTTATCAATTTTTCAGCAGTTATGTTTAATTGTAATTATTGTTGTTATTATTATTAATATAATAATGATTACATTTTTATGCCATCTGGCTTCCAGCAACTCTGGGCAGTTAAGATGATCTTTTTAAAAATCATCTTAGTATACTTATTACTTAAGTAAAACCTCTGTGTATTGTGCATTTATTACTAGTTTAAAAAGTATGAAATCATTATAGACCATATAAAAGGCACTTCATTTCCATATTGCTGTTATTTTTCAGTTCCACTTTAAGAGCAAAATGCCATTCAAGAGCATAGTTTACAGTTCCAGAACAATCTTCTTCCTGAAAAGTGCCCATCATCTGGCACTATTAACACACAATATTGACTCTGTATTTAGTCTGCAACTACCTTTTAGAGAATGACTTTCCACTGCTTATCCATCTGACCTGTGATTGATTGATTGACTGATTGACTGATTGATTTCATTTAAATGCCACCCATCTTATTAGACAAGTGACTCTGTATGTCTTACATCGCAATGTGCGTTTGGACTCTATTTCAACCTTTTTTCTAACGTTTTGCTCCCTTTCTGGAACATTCAGAAACTTGAAAACACTGTGCTTTTCTGTCACATGGAACATAATAATAAAAGGATCTTCCAGTTAGTGCTACTAAAAAGAATTGTGCATAATTTTTGATTTTTGAAATTTTCTATCAGATAGATAATACTGAAAAAGAAACAAGGAACATATATTACTTAGCAAGCTATACAAACAGACCTTCCAAACCAAATAAAATCATCAGCAAAATAGAAGTAATTTTTTTAAGATGCTTCTTGCAGTTCTGCATCTGAGACTCAGAGCGCCGCTATTGGCCAACATAATTCCCAGAAAGGAGCTGGAAATCTAATGGGGCTTCCTGCCTTCTGACTATCCAGTCACCAAATGCAGAGCAGTCAAAGAGCAGGATTGAGGGACACTCACCGACCATGGCAGAGAAAAGAAAACCACTGCAGTTTAGATAAAACTCAGGAGAATCCCAGGACCCTCTTGATGCTTTCTTTCTAATGAGAATTTAAACTGGTCAGCTTACTGGATTGCACAAAGCACTTTTCATCGCAGTTGGGATGGACGGCAGGAGCAAAGCTAAGAGCAGATCTGTAAAAAGGCAAGTACGTCTCCTCTTCTTATTGTCTTTCGTCTGCCAGACTGTCTCGGAGCACCTTCGCTATTCAATTCCAGAGGAAATGGGAAAGGGTTCCATTGTGGGGAATCTTGCCAAGGATCTGAAACTGAGTGCTGCAGAAGTGGGAAATCGCAACCTGCACATCCTTTCTGTAGGCAACAAGCAGTATTTCTCCATCAATGCTGAAAATGGGAATCTGTATGTAAAAGACAGGATTGACAGAGAGGAAATCTGTGGGGAAACTGCACTCTGCCCCATCAGTTTTGAAGTGGTGAGTGCAAACCCCATGGACATATTTTACATAACAGTAGAGATCCAGGATATTAATGACAATGCACCACATTTCTTAAATGGTGATATCAAACTAGAGATAAGTGAATCCTCTTTACCAGGAGCCACATTTCTTCTTGAACAAGCAGAAGATCCTGATATTGGAACAAATGCTCTCCAGGATTATTATCTAAGTGTTAATGATAATTTTATACTTGAATTTAGACTGGTGGAAAACAGAAAACAATATCCAAAATTAGTGCTAAAGAAACAGTTAGATCGCGAAAGTGAAAGAAGCATTAATTTAACACTTACTTCTGTTGATGGTGGTAATCCAACAAAAACTGGAACAGCCAAAATATGGATCAAGGTCATTGATGCCAATGACAATGCACCCATCTTCAGTCAAGAACTTTATTTGGTCAGCCTAAAAGAGAATGCATCAAAAGGATCTACTGTAATACAGGTGAAAGCCACAGACAAAGATGAAGGTTCCTATGGTCAGATCAACTATTTCTATAGAAATATTGCTAATAATGCTCATAGGAAATTTGATTTGGATTCTGAACAGGGATTTATATCAATTCATGAAGAGCTAGATTTTGAGGAAACAGAGAAGTATACCATAGCAGTGGAAGCAAGGGATGGAGGTGGGTTAGTAGCCCACTGTAATGTTGAAATAAAGCTATTAGACGTAAATGACAATGCCCCAGAATTGATTCTTCCCTCCTTATCCAGGGAAATTCCGGAAAACTCTCCATTAGGAACATTGGTAGCCCTCATCAATATAAAGGATAAAGATTCAGGGGATAATGGGGAGGTCAATTGCCATTTACAGAATGCCTCTCCATTCAAAATAGTATCAGCAGCTAATGGCTACTATAAGCTGCTGACAGATGGTCCCCTAGACAGAGAAAGCACCCCAGCATACAATCTTACAATCGCAGCCACAGACAAAGGTACGCCCCCTCTTTCTACACAGAAAACCATCTCACTGGAGATTTCGGATATCAATGATAATGCCCCTACCTTTGAGAAATCCTCATACACCGTCTATGTGGCAGAGAACAATCCTGCTAGCTCCTCCATCTTCAGCATCAAAGCTATAGATCCCGATCTTGGTCGCAATGCTAGGATCACCTATTCCATCCTCACTAGCAAAATAGAGGCGCTACCTCTCCCGTCTTACCTCTCCATTAACTCAGAAAGTGGCACCCTCTATTCTCAAAGGTCCTTTGACTATGAGCAACTCAGGGAATTTGAGGTACAGGTGAAGGCTGAAGATGGAGGCTCCCCACCTCTCAGCAGCAATGCCACATTGAAAGTGTTCATCCAGGACCAAAATGATCAAAGCCCTCAAATTCTGTATCCTTCTCCAGGAGCAGAAGGTTCAGCCTCCTTTGAGATGGTGCCTCGCTCGGCAGAGATGGGGTACCTGGTTACAAAGGTGGTGGCTGTGGACACCGACTCTGGCCACAATGCCTGGCTCTCTTATCATCTACTGCAAGCCACTGAGCCGGGGCTCCTCACAATTGGTGCCCACACTGGTGAAATCAGGACATTGCGGACACTTCTGGAAAGAGATGCTCTGAAGCAGAAGCTAGTGGTCTTAGTGAAGGATAATGGGCAGCCCCCGCTCTCTGCTACAGTCAGTCTCAATCTGATATTTGCTGAAAACTTCCAAGAGGCACTGCCAGAAATAAATCACCAAGCCACGGATTCAGAGCAACAGTCTGAGCTCCAGTTCTACCTAGTGCTGGCCTTAACTTTGATCTCTTTTCTGTTCCTCTTGACTGTAACTCTGGTCATCATGATGAAACTCCGACAGTCGGGGAATCTGAAATTTCTTCCATGCTTTGCTCCCATTCCCCATTCAAGCAATGCCATTATATTCCCACCAAATTATGAGGAAGGGACTATTCCTTATTCCTATCAGCTCTGCTTATCCTCTGAGTCCAAGATACATGAAATTACTTTTCCAACTCCCAAAGTTCAAGCTGCTGAATATATTTCATGCAACCAAAAATATGATGTGCTTTTGTCAAGCAACGGAGGCAATATCCCAAATTCTGAGATGGATAAAACTGATTTGGTGAGTTCTTTTTATTCGTACTGATTTTGTACTCTTAACTCTCCTTTCAAAGATTGTCAATAAATGTTTGATTCTATGATTTTGTATATACTTTCTGCTTTACCTATTGTTTGCTCATTGGTTTATTGTACTCAAGAATCTCTACAGTTATAATAGTTTCTAACATGCCTTTTGTAAATCAATGTTATTTCAGAATTAGACTACGGAACAAGCATGGTCTCCTTCCAATTGAAAATATATTTGCTAGTTGTGTTAAGTCAAACTTTTATGTGAAACTCAAATCACCGCAGTTTTGTGGTTTTTGCATAGAAGTTTCAAGTTTAGTGAAAGGAAAGTTCAAATAACGTATGCTTTGAATGAAATAGCAAATTAAATGAGAAAAATAATATTCAAATATGAATAGTGAATGGTCAGTATGTGATGCTTCTTTAGTAGTTGTTGCTGCAATAGTAGCAGTAATAATTTGCAGAAAGCATTTCAGCATTCAGAACAGTACACATAATTATTTAGAAGAGATAATGTGAACCAAGAGCATATGCTGGTGTTTAGTTATGAGAAGTATATAAGTATAGTTTTACATTTTATCAAATGCCTCAGACTAAATTGTTACCTGACTCAAACTACCTCTGCACTGCACATATTAATGCACCACAGTTATATCTGAAGTATGAACTATTTTGACAAATCTGGAAGGAGCACTATTATAAATTAAGCTATGAAAAAGCAAATTATACCTGTTCCTTAAAGTCTTCTCCAATTTCAAATGAATATAAGCACAAAAGACAACTTTTTAAAAGTTGAGTTTTCTTCTTACTTCCTAATACATTTCCTGGTGAAGTTGTGAAAGCCATTTACAATTTTAAAGTTAAAAAGGAAAAACAGAAGATTGCCAGTAACATGCTCCACCAAATCACTGTTGAATTCCTGTGAAGTAACAAATTACTTCTACAGCCAAAGAAGTCCAATACAAAGTACAAATAGCAAACATAATGAATGGAAATTGATCATTCATGTTGCATGCTAAAACATAATAAAACCATAATTATTCCCTTTTTCAACTGGTAGCTTTATTTCAAATGAAACTTCTTTGTGTCTTGTATTTGCTGCAATTGCTAGAAATGTAATCTTTTTTGGAATGCTTTTTATTTAATATATTTTATATCACTTTCTCATGGACATACCTTGAAGCAGTATCACAGTTAAAATGGGGGAGGAGGGAAACCAATTCTGGGATTTCTTTCCCAAAAGATAAATTTAGATATATGAAACCAGAACACAAGCACATTGCACATTGCAGGTTATATCACTACTTAATTGAACTTTTTAGTTGAACAGTTATTATATTCCACTTATGATGCTATTGATGAAAATCATTGATGAAAAGACCTACAATAAGTTAAAACCTAATGGATCCATGATGCCACAACTCTATTGATTACCAAAAATGCATAAACCAGGAATGCTGGTCAGACCCATTTTAGCTATGTCTGGCTCTGCTTATCATCAGCTTGCGTGCTGGGCCAATAATATTCTGGTGTCTATAAGAGAGAAGCTTATCAAAACAATCGCCTCCTTCCTAAGGCTGAGAGAGAATGACTAGCCCAAGATTATTCAACTGGTTTTATGCCTTAGGTGGAACTAGAACTCATGGTCTCATGGTTTCTAGCCTGGCACCTTAATCACTACACCAAACTGGATATCACATCCATAAAGCTCTCTGGAATATAACTTAGATGCTTTCCCCAAGACGAGAAAAACAATGCAAGAAATTATCTTAAAAACGTAATTTGACTGGGGCAAAAGGAAAGAAGCATTGACTCCAAAATTATAATCACAGTGTTTTAAATATCCACGCAAGTCCACAATAAATATAACGCTTAAGTAGCAGTCTATAGTATAATGATGTTCACATTGTGTTTGGTCGGAAGCAGAAAAGAAGCATTCCTTGCAGTTCTCTTTCTGAGCCTCACAGTGCTGCTGTTGATTATCAGCACACACTGGTGGAAATCGACTTTTGACTCATTCACCAGAAGAATTATGCATCAGAACTCACAGATCACATATTCAATCCTCACCAGCAACACTGAAGAACTTCCCATCTCCTCCTATTCATTCTGAGACCGGCATCATCTTTGGCTATGAGCAGTTCAGGGAATTCCAGCTGCAGGTGAAGGCCCAAGATGGTGGGAGTCCCCCTCTCAGCAGCAACGTCACAGTCAGGGTGTTTATCCTGGATCGGAATGACAACAGCCCCCAAATCTTATCCCCTTCACCAGACTCCAAGGACTCTGCCCTCTTTGAGATGGTCCCTCGTTCAGCCAAAGCAGATTATCTGGTAACAAAGGTGGTGGCTGTGGATGCTGATTCCGGACACAACGCCTGGCTCTCCTACCAGCTGATTCAAGCCACAGAACCAGCCCTCTTCACTGTTGGCTCCCATACGGGTGAGATCAGGACAGCAAGAACTTTTATGGAGAGAGATGCTGTGAAACAGAGACTGGTCCTTCTGGTGAAGGATAATGGACAACCGACTCTCTCGGCCTCTGTCACTCTGAACCTGGTGTTTGCTGAGAACTTCCAGGAGGCCCTTCCGGAGATGAAAAACCAGATGAACAGCTCAGAGGATCAGTCCGACTTGCAGTTCTAGTTGGTGGTGCCTTAGCGGTGATGTCATTTTTATTCCTCTTGTCAGTGATTCTGGCCATTGCCATCAAACTGCGGCAGTCAGGAAATTCCAGTTTCTTACCATGTTTTGCTCCTTTTTCCCATTCCACAGCTGGGGTCTACCAGTTGGGTTCCTGGTGCTGCAAATTGTAACTTCAGATAAAGATGAAGGCTCAAATGCACTCAGATATTATTTCAGAAACCACTTGATCATGAGGGTGAACCAACGGTTCAGCTAACACTTACTGCGCTAGATGGAGGGAACCCAGAAAAACTGGAACAGCCCAAATATGGATCAATGTCACCGATGCCAATGATAATGCACCTATATACACCCAAGAAGTCTACACAGTCAATCTGAGGGAAAATCTACCAGTTGGGTTCCTGGTGCTGCAACTTTTAGTTTCAGATAAAGATGAAGGCTCAAATGCACAAATCAGATATTATTTCAGCAATATACCGCTGAGTGCAAATCAGAAATTCAGCCTAGATTCAACCCGTGGAATGATTTCTCTTGTGGAACCATTGGACTTTGAGGAAAACACAGAGTATGTGATGACTGTAGCAGCTAAAGATGGAGGTGGATCAATGACCCATTGCAAAGTAGAATTAAAGCTCCTCAATGAGAATGATAATTTGCCAGAAATTATGTTTGCAACTGTTTTTAGTCCAATTCTGGAAGATTCTCAGATTGGAACAGTTATTGCTCTCATCAATGTACATGACTGGGATACTGGTAATAATGGAAAGATTGTTTGCTATTTAGAAGATGACTTGCCATTCAAGATTCTTCCATCAGCTGACAGCTACTACACACTCCTGACAGATAAACCTCTAGACAGGGAGAAAGCATCTCAGTATAATATTACAATCACAGCCATTGACAAAGGAACTCCTCCATTGAACACAAACAAAACTATCGTGCTACAGATCCCTGATATCAATGACAATGCTCCTGCTTTTGAGAAAGCTTCCTACAGCATCTACGTGCCAGAGAACAATCCTTCTGGTGCCTCCATCTTCCAGATTCAAGCCTTTGATCCGGATCTGGATCAAAACTCACACATCACATATTCAATCCTCACCAGCAACATTGAAGAACTTCCCATCTCCTCCTATATCTCCATTCATTCTGAGACCGGCATCATCTACGCCCAGCGATCCTTTGACTATGAGCAGTTCAGAGAATTCCAGCTGCAGGTGAAGGCCCAAGATGGCGGGAGTCCCCCTCTCAGCAGCAACGTCACAGTCAGGGTGTTTATCCTGGATCGGAATGACAACAGCCCCCAGATCCTATCCCCTTCACCAGACTCCAAGGACTCTGCCCTCTTTGAGATGGTCCCTCGTTCAGCCGAGGCAGATTATCTGGTAACAAAGGTGGTGGCTGTGGATGCTGATTCCAGACACAATGCCTGGCTCTCCTACCAGCTGAGATCAGGACAGCAAGAACTTTTATGGAGAGAGATGCTGTGAAACAGAGACTGGTCCTTCTGGTGAAGGATAATGGACAACCGACTCTCTCAGCCTCTGTCACTCTGAACCTGTTGTTTGCTGAGAATTTCCAGGAAACCCTTCCAAAAATGAAAAACCAGCTGAGCAATTCAAATTTCCAGTCTGACCTACAATTTTATTTTCATTGGCCTTACTTTGATTTCATTCTTATTTCTGTTCACAGTGATTCTGGCTCTTATGTTGAAACTCTGGCAGTCAGGGAATCCTAGTTTCCTCCATGTTTTGGCCCAGTCCCACATATCAAGACTGGTACAATATTTCCTTCAAATTTTGAAGAAGGGATGTTGCCTTTTTCCTACCAATTTTGCCTTTCCTCTGAATCCAGAAAGAATGAGTTTGTTGTTCTGACACCAAATATTGCTGAGAATGTTCTTTGTGATTTGTGATTTGTCCAGTTTATTAAAAAAAATTGCTACATCTTTTGCAGAGGTTGGAGGAAACAATTTACCTTGTGAGGTGAGATAAAATAGAAAGATAAACTTCTTACTCTTTGTTTTAGCACAGTGCTATCTATCTATATTTTATTTGTAGTTAACTGTATTTTTTCCAACTCTTTTAGTTGCATAAATCTGTTTTAGATATATTTATCTCTCTCCATAGGTTGTGCAATAATGAATTTCATTTAATATACAGTACATTTAATATTGATTCCGAAGGCAGTTTCACTGATTTATTGTCTGTGTTACAATGTTTATTAATAAACAAACATCTTTGCATATTACATAAGTGATGTTCTTCATAATGTGTATGTCTAAGAAAAGGATAAGAAGTTTGATTGCTTTGAGGCAGCATGTTTTCAAGAGATAACTGTTGCTTTACTATCTAATAATAAACATTTAAGTGAATCATGTTTAGGAAAATGGATAAATGAGGGTTGGAAAAATATATTGTGAATATCTGCAAAATTTTATTTTCTTTGGATATTTATTGAATTTTAGATTTCTTTTACTCTTTGATCAAATGTAAGAGAGCAATTTACATGTTCCATTCTAATGCATTGCTGAATCCTTGAGCTTTTAAAAATTGATCCAAGACTGTTCAACAATCATAAATATATATAACTTTATGCTTGTTTATTTGTCTAATTAACTCATTATTCTGCTCAAATAGTACATGAGGTTTGGTACAAAGCATAACACATATAAAGGTAAGTTTGCATAATGTTTCTGTATGCTTTCTTACAAAACTGCAACAGGATTTAATATGAGTAAGAGAGTGAAATAGTTAAAAATGTGCCAATACCAATGTAAAGGTCAACTTTCATTTCCCTAATTGTGGAATTGTGAGCCAAATTCATCCTTCAGAGCACAGTACACTTTCTAGTTATATTTCTAAACTATGTTAAAGTCAGTCTAGCGTCAATAACTGGGAAGATTCTAGAGAGTTCAATCCGTAAACTCGAAGACTTCTATGAGTAGAAGTCAGCAGAGATTTATTAAGATATGTCAGACTAAACTTAGCTCATGTTTTAATCTGTAACTTTTTTAGTAGATTGTGGGAATGCTGTAATAGATCAGGGGTGGCAAACTCACAGCCTGTGGGCCAGATGCGTCATGCACTGGCCACACCCACACCTGGTTTAGCGAGGGGGGAAAAGTCACAATACGTCGTGTGATTCTGCCATGATGATGCGAGTTTGACACCCCTGCTGTAGATATAATAATATTGTGTGTGCGTGTTTTCTTGGATACGTTTTCTTGCAAAGTTCAACATACTCCAGTTTATTAGTGAAACTTCTGATATTTTTCATTGCCCATAGTTTTTTCATTAAATCAATAGTTTCATCAGAGATTGTTGACTGTCCAGTGGTACTATAGATGTAGCAGATTCAAAGATGTTTTTGACTGTTTTGTTTATTTTGGTCTGTAATGTTCATCTCTTCCAAAACTTGCAATAGAGCAAAGTAATTTGTTAGATTAATCTCAAAGTTGCTGTTCTTCTCTAACAGCTTATCACTCTCTCTTTTTGTTTTTTGTCATGTCTTTATCATGTTTGTATGCTCTTTTCAATAGTCTATCTTCACTTTAGCTTGTATCATTCTGTGGTCATTTCTAACGTTAAAATGATTGATGACAGTACAATTGTAGAATATAGTTTTATCACTTGACATGATGTAGTCAATTTTGCTTGTGTACCCAGAAGGACTCTTCCACGTCCATTTTCTGCTGGCTTTTTTTGTGAAAAATGAGTTCATGATATAAAGTTCCTGTCCTTCGGCAAAATCTACTAGACTGTTGCCTCTATTATATCATTCCCCACTTCCATATGGGTCAGTCACTTTTTCTCCAAGCCTTGCCTTGCCTTGCCTTGCCTTGCCTTGCCTTGCCTTGCCTTGC